CAAGGTTTCAACAGCACATTCAGCAGCACACTGGCCTGTTGCCGAAGCAGCTGTTCTTCCTGCCAGGATTCTATCTACCAGGTGCTATCAATGCTTCAATTGATGACAACAAAAACGTGGAAAATCAACGATCAGGGCAAAAAGAAACCTTGCCTCTAGCTTCTGCTTCAGAGCTTCTGCTTCTCTTTTCTTCTTTGCGGTTGCCTCTGGTTCTTCCTCCTTCTTTGCGGCTGCCGCTGGTTCCTCTTTCTCTGCCTCGTGGCCTTCAAACGGATTCTGGGCAATCAAAGATTTACAACTAGTAGCGATGCACTTGTTACTAGTATCTTCTTGGCCTTCCGCGGGGCTAATGCGCTGCGTAGCCGTTCTTTCGCTGCTCGCCTAAGTAATGTCTTGTCTCGCAGTTCGTTTTCTCTGTACGTCGCACGTCTCTTCGTTCCACGTCTGCGTTGGATATGAACTGGTTCCTGTCTGCGTTGGATTGGAACTGGTTGAGTTTGTAGTTGTAGTTACAATTCTAATTCTATTTCTATTTATTTTTGTTTCTAATAGCGAACATCTTTCATAGTCCGGCCAGGAGACCCTAGTCGCGTCCTTGCTCCTAGTAGCGATGCCAGGAGCCCCTAGTAGCGATGTCCTTGCTCCTAGTCGCGGATTGGAACTGGTTCTAAGTTCAAGACGCTCTTTGACGCAGTTAGTTGTGCTTCCTGGCACAAGGTCAGCCCTACACGCTTCTTGACATGGGATCATGGAACGCCTCTTTTTGCTGTTCTTCTTGCTTTCGCCTCACCTGAGCGACTGAGCATTTGTGCAATTTCCAAACATCTTGTGACAAATGCGTCTTTCTGGGTTCCTTGTGACAGGAAATGGCAAACAAGACCTAAAGTCTCAAGAGAAAACCAACATAAAAGAATGACGCAAACACAGAACGGCATGTGCTATAAGGTTGGAGGCCATCGCGCTTTGCGCATTTTGGGTTTGGTGATCACTTTCGATGGCAGATACAAGGAGATCCTAGTAGCGTCCTTGTCACTAGTAGCGATGCCAGGAGCCCCTAGTAGCGTCCTTGCAAATGCAAGGAGATCCTTGTGTTTTTGTGGTCTCAAGTCGCCTTTTCGTGGCACTAAGCGCGGATTTTGTGGCAGGTGCAACTTGTGCAACCGTGAACTTTGGAGGGAGAAGTATCGTGCGAAAGCTTGGTTTTGGCACCTCCAACGTCTCTGGCCTTTCTTGCGAAAAGCAGAGGGAGGGCTGCGCAATGTGAATCTTGACGTGCAGCGCTTTGTAAAAGGTGCTTTTTGGTGAATCTATTCTCTTTGGTTCTTCTTTTTGTGGCCGTACTTGCTTTGTTTGCCTTTGTCTAGGAAAACCGTGGGCGGTTGGAGGATCCGCAAGGGTTGCAGATTTCGTGGTGCGGGAGTTGGGGTGGGGACGGCGCAGCAAGGATCATTGCAAATTGCACAACACACACAGAAGAACAAGGAGCAAGGATGCTACTAGGGGCTCCTGGCATTGCTACTAGGAGCAAAGAAGCAGAACAGCGCAGAAACACAGCGCAAAGGGAAGCTGAAAGGAAACAGAAAGCAAAGAAGCAGAAATTCGGGAAGCAGGGAAGCAGAAAAGCAATGAAGCAAAAAATACAGCAAAGTAGCAAGCGGAAAAGCAAACAAGCAGAAAAGAAGAAATGGTTTGCCATACGCTGGCAGGGTGGAGGCAATCGCTAGTAGGGTGGAGGCTATATAGTTAAGGCCACAATAGTTAAAGTTTGCCATACCCATCTCTAGGAACCCGCCCTCAGAAGAGGGGAGCTTCCCATCACTATTAGGTCGGAGGCCATTCCTATTAGGTTGGAGGCCATCGCTACTAGGGTCGAGGCCTTTGCTATTAGGTTCTTTGTTACTAGTAGTAAGGCACTTGTTACTAGAAGCGATGCACTTGTTCCTGGGTTTCTTAAAGTGCCGCATCCAAAACCAATGTCTCACCAGTCCGGCAAAGGTGCCGCAGCGTCTTTGGCTCTGGATGTGCTTGATGGAGCCTCGAAAGCCAGAAGCAAGTCGTTCCTAGTAGCATTCTTGTTACTAGTAGCGATGCCCTTTGCTCCTAGTCGCGTAGCGATGCCAGGAGCCCCTAGTAGCGTCCGATCGCTCCTAGTGTCGTTCATTTTTCCATATTTTTTCCTCGCAAGTCGGAAGGTGGAGAAGTCAGCCTGGCCTCCACCATGCGGATTGAAGCGTCTTCATCCTTCTCATCCAAATCCAACACGGTTTCGACTTGTGGCGCCTGGCCACTGGTAGCAAGGCATTGCTACTAGGAACAAGAATGCTACGGCCTTTTTGGTCCCAAAGCCAAAACTTGTGAATCCTTTGTTATGTCAGGGGGCAGAAAATCATGGCTTGGAAGGAGTCTCAACTCCAGGAAATACGACACCGTCGTCGCAAGCTCACGTGAAGGATCTTTGCTCAGTTTACCATCAAGGGATCCTCAAAATGAACCGGAAAAGACTCATGTCAATCATCAAAATTTTCCAGGGTCTAACCAAAAACACTCCAACAAAAAGAGAACTTAGGTCTGGAAATCGTGTTAAGTTTCTGACACCCTACATCCCCATGCTCCTGTAAAGAGGACTGCAAGCGTGCCTCTGCTTTACTTGCACGCGTTTCTGCTCTCCTCCACTGCGGGCGCACAACATTGAAACACGTCCTTACCTTGCTACTGGGCAAGAAACACAATAGTTAAAATGACACCTGCAAACCAAATAAAGGCCTCATGGTGTAAAGGAAAGACATCTTTCTAGACCTTTAGACCTTGTACTTCTTCCTTAGACCTTTGGGCCTGTGTTCTTCTTTTTCTAAACGAAACCGCGCCACTCTCCTGCTCTCTTCCTCTGCCTCCACGGGTTTCTCTTCCGTCTGCGCCGGCAAATCAATTGCCTCATGCCCAATGACGCACTGCTGCACTCTGGTCGAGAACCTACCATCTTGTTCCTAGTAGCATCCAGTTGCCCCTAGTAGCATTCTTGTTCCTAGTAGTGATGCCCTTTGCTCCTAGAAGCCTCCTTGCTCCTAGTAGTAAGGCCAGGAGCCCCTAGTAGCATTCTTGTTCCTAGTAGCGATGCCTTTGTTCCTAGTAGCATCCTTGCTCCCAGTAGCAAGGCCAGGAGGCCCTAGTACCATTCTTGTTCCTAGTAGCGATGCGCTTTGCTCTTAGTAGCAAGAATGCTCTACTCATGGTCGAGAACCTACCATCTATGGTTTGCAACTCCAAACACATTGCAGGTACCTTTAGGACAAAGCGATTCAAGCATTTGTTTCCTCTCTTATTCTCTCTTTAGACCTGTATTTTTCTTTGTTATGTTTTTCTTTACGTGTTGTTCCTTTTCTTGTCTTCTTTAGACCTGTCGTGTTCTTTCTGATCGCCTTTTGATCGTGTTTTCTTTCCTTTCATTCTTTCTTATCCTTTCGTTTTCCTTTTTTTATCTGTTTCTTTAGAACTCTCCTTCCTTCCTGTGTCTGCTCTTCTTTAGACTTTTTCTGAATTCCTTGCAAGTTCAAGATTACAATTGACTCATTAGATTGTGAATTTTCCTGGCGCTCAGTCAGGCCTGCTGCATTTTGGGTTTCTCTGCGGCCTGGTCTTTTTTCACAAGGTTTCAAAAGCACATTCAGCAGCACACTGGCCTACAATGAAAACATAGAAAATCGACGATTTGGGCGACAACAATTTGATCAAACATGTTTCAATCGACTCTCCTTGGTTGCCATCTGCCACAATCCCGACCACAGCAATGTACACGTCGAAGGGAATCCAAAATTTAGAGACACAAAATGAAACGATCTACAATCCTAGCCTGTTTATTGCGAGCTGACAGCCTTGGCCAAGGTCTAGTGGAGCAAGAAAGGCAAAAACAAACCTTGCCTCCGACTTCTCCTTCAAAGCTTCCACTTCTCTTTTCTTCTTTGCGGGTGCCTCTGGTTCTTCCTCCTTCTTTGCGGCTGCTGCTGGTTCCTCTTTCTCTGCCTCGTGGCCTTCAAACAGATTCTGGGCAATCAAAGATTTACAACTAGTAGCGATGCACTTGTTACTAGTATCTTCTTGGCCTTCCGTGGGGCTAATGCGCTGCGTAGCCGTTCTTTCACTGCTCGCCTAAGTGACTTTAATTCGCAGTTGGTGCCTCTGTTCATCTTCTCTATCCGCTGCAAGTTGTGCGCGCACTCAGCATGGGACCAACATGTTCCTCTCTGCTTTGGATTGGAGCTGGCTGATTTCCTCTCACGTTCAAGACGCTCTTTGATTCTGATTCATTTGATTGTGAACCTTCCTTGCACTCAGTCAGGCCTGCTGCATTTTGTGTTTTTCCGCAGCCTGTCTTTTTCACCAAGGTTCAAACACTCATTCAAGCCAGCAGGGATAGACTGGCCTGTTGCCGAAGAAATTTTCCCTCCTGCCGGGATGCTGGATGCCAAATGCTTCAGTTGCAAACCTTCTGTCGTGTGGACGGGGGGAAAAGTCCCGAGAGCGAAAAGAGATAATAGTATGAAGGTGTGTCAAGAAAAGGCTTTGATTAATTAGCAAATGTGAGTGAGTACAGGTAAAGACCCGACAGAAGTCAAACATCTGCAGCGTGCAGTGCGCTTGCATTAGCGCCCACTCGTTTTCTGGGCCCTGCCACCGATACAGCCGGTTCTCTCGTGTGGTGCCGCATTGCAGGCATCGAGCGCATTCCATCTTGCGTTTCTAGCGCCGTTGAGTAAAAGCATCGCTACTAGGAGCAAAGGCATCGCTACTAGGACCCCCTTTTTGAGAACACTTCGCCCAGAAACTCTCAGGAAAAATCCTTCAAACCATTTCTCCTGAGTTGCAATCTTCCACGATCCAACGACCGCGGCCAGCACTTGGTCTGTGTCCCGGCCTCCAAACAGATTCTGGGCAAGTGACACTTCCTGTATCGAAATTTGCCCTGTATCTTCTTGGCTTTCCAAGGGGCTCATGAGCTGCAGAGCCATTCGGTCTAGTTGCATCGCCATTCTTTCGCTGGTCGCCTAAGTAACTTCAATTCGCAGTTGGTGCCTCTGTTCATCTTCTCTATCCGCTGCAAGTTGTGCGCGCACTCAGCATGGGACCAACATGTTCCTGTCTGCTTTGGATTTGAGCTGTTTGAACTCCTCTCAAGATCAAGACGCTGTTTGATCCTGATTCATTTGATTGTGAGCCTTTCCTAGCACTCAGTCAGCCCTGCTGCTCCAGTTTCTGACTGGTTCAATTTCAGAGACACGTTTCTTGCAGTGACATGGGATCATGGAACGCCTCTTTGTGCTGTTCTTCTTGCTTGTGCCTCGCCTGAGCGACTGAGCATGAGTACAACTTCCAAACATCCCTTGACGAATGCGTCTTTCTGGGTTCCTTGTGACAGGAAATCACAAAATAGATCCAGAAAAGTAGTAAACAAACAAACAGGCGCCTATCTGAATGGGTCCTGTCTTGGCCCCGAGCAGTCTCCAAGTGATTCTCATATACCTCAATGAACTTTCCAGGTCAACATGAACTGCACTCTTATCTCATCTTTCCCCTGTTTTTTCCACCAAAAGTGTGGTCACACTAGGCGTTCTTATGGTAGTAGTTTACGTTGGGTTTGCTCGAGGGTGGAAGTGCCTTTGTTGCAAAAGGCCGCAGCAGGGCTGTGCAATGTGAATCTTGATGTGCAGATTTCGTGGCAGGGGCAGCGATTTCGTGACGCAAAGCGATTCTGTGTGCTCATACATATCTGCTCCCATATTATGCGCACTCTCACTTGTGATGCTCTAATATTGGTGTTATCATATGTGCTCTAGAGCGCGGGTCTTGTTTTGTTCTCTTCAACACTGTTTGGTGTCTCTTGCCAGGATGATGTCCTTCCTTTGCTTAGACCTTTACTGTGGCCTTTAGACCTTCCTTCCTTCCTTCCCTTTATCCCTTTTCTTTTCTGAGTATCTTTCTTAACAATTCTGAACATGTTCCCTCAGTGGGTGCCAGTTGGCACGTTCGCAGCTGACATAGCAGTACTCAGAAAGCATTTAGAGTTTTTTCTGCTTGTGGCGGCGCAAGGGGCTGTGAGCTGTTGCCCTTCCAATTCGTTGAGAGCGTCTGCAACGTCTGCGGGTCTAGAGCCAACTGACACCTGACTGCGCGTTGGCGCTGCGAATCATCGTGTGCCAATGGTGTGCCCACGGCCTGTAAACGCTTCGTCCGTTGCCAGTCGCTTCTGAAGTTGTGATACGTTTTTGGCATGGCGTGATTCTGTTCAAAGTTCTCCGCAAACCTTCCAACTCAACAGGACAAGTACCATGAAACGAATAATTTTCACAACGCTTGCAAAGCCTACAACTCACTTCTAAGAATTTTGCATGAGACATTCGATTGGATAAGTTCAACAGAACCCATCGTCTGAGCCATGTGCCAGCTGGCTCCAAGCTCTAAGGCATTGCCTCAGGAAGTAGCAGTGCACAGCCAGTTCGTCGACAACAGTTACGTCACTGAAGGCTCCAGCGCGAACACTAGCTGCTTCCTTTTCCCTGCGCCGCTCGGCGCTACGCCGCTCTGTGTCGATAGTAGCGATTCCCTTTGCTCCTAGTAGCTTCTTGTTCCTAGTAGTATGGCCAGGAGCTACTAGTAGCGTCCGATCGCTCCTAGTAGCGATGCCCTTGTTTATAGCTTGTTGATTCCTTCTTTCTTTGTACCTTTTCTTTTTTGAGCCCGTGGCCCGCTCGCTCTTACTTAATTAAGTAGGCGCCTACTTCATTGGACACACTTGTTCGCTCCTAGCGACTTGGATGCTGGACGGACAGCGCTCGTACTCATCAGGACAGGTTCGCTTTTGAGGGAAACAGCAAACACGAATCCTACAAATACTGTACTACACACGTACTACACAGGGAGCAGCGACGAGCGAGGAGTGGTAAAGGGCTGGTGAACCTCGAATGCCTAAAACCGACGATGCAGCCTAGGTGGAACTTGCAACTCAGTTGGGCAAGCTCAGTGTGCTATCTGGCCGTGCCTTCGACTAAAGTCGCAATGAACTTGGCTTTGGCGTCACCTGATCAAGAGAATGGACGAATTATTCAAAAATTATGCACAAGTGTGACCGTCAACAGCGCGTGTGGATGGACATGTCAAGCAGCAGAAACTTGCAAGAATTGTGCAGCCGTAGAAAATGACAAACCTATGCATGCAAAACCCTCTGCGAAACGTTGATGGAAATTCCCGGAACTTCCAGAATCTGGCAACCGCGTCGGAAAGAGCTTATGTTGGCTTAGACACCAAAGCTGTCCAAAGCTTTCAACTGTTTCGATTTCATGACCAACAGTTTGGTTGATGCTCCCAAGCACTTGGGCCAAAACCATGAAGTTGTCGCTTTTTTCGAGCCTCCTCCTGGAAAAGGGAAGAGGTTTCACAAAAATACGTTGCACACGAGGACGGAAGAAAACTGCTGTATCCTCCTGGGCCTGCTGCGTCTTAGCCTGTTTCTGCGAAAAGCGTTCCTGGCCAGTCCGTGCCACGGTCCGTGCCACGGTCCGTGCCACGGTCGCTTCGCTGTGGCTTCTCCAACCCAACATGCCTCTCCTTGGCTGTTGTTCTCCACAATCCAAAGACTGCAGCCTGTAGGAGGTTGTTCAGCCTGTTGTTGTTGTAACCTTCAAACTGGCAATTGCAAGCGTTCTGCAAGGGCCCTTGCTTGTAAAAGTACTAAAGCCAAATGACTTACACAAAAGTTCTTGAGATTATACCCCACTCAAGAAGCAAAGTCCTAGTTCTTAAACAAACTTCTTTTTCCACTCCACCAGGGTGGACGCTACAGCAGCTTCTAATCTGATACTCTGATACATGTCCGCCGCAATGACAGAAAAGGATCATAAATCACGACAACTCATTGCCTCAAGCTCAAACTGTATGTTTCTTGTTTTCAAGCCCCAACCCTTGGAGGTTCAGTGAGGTTACCATTATTGTGTTCTTTGCTTCGCTGTGTTTATTTCTGTCCTTCCTTTACGTTCCTTTCCTTTCAGTGTCCATTCTTGTTCTTCTCTTTTGCTTCTTTTTCTCTGTTAGGCCTTTTCAAGTCTGCCTTTTGACCATTTCAATTTTGGGGAGATCCAGCATCAGTTGGTATGGCAATGAAAGGAGCGAACTGGGAGGATGAACTGCGACTTTGTGCACAGAAGCCTTCTTAGGAGTGAGTGCTAGCTTCTAGAGAAAGTGAAGAAAAAGTGAAGAAGAAACGCTCGAGTCGGTGCCAAATGTGTTTCGGAACCATGGCATGCGAAGATGCATAGATGCATGGAAGACTGCGGTTTCATTGGCACACGTTCTGTAGTCTCCTCCCCAAGTCGTGTCGCATCAAAGGTCTACAGGTCTTGATCACCTTGCCCCATGGCAGGTAAAATAGGAGAAATGAAAGGAACGCAACAAAGTGCACGAGCGTGCTGAGAAAGGAAAGGAAGAAGGAAAGGAAGGCCCAGGAAGACAGGAAGAAAAAAACCAAAGGTTGACACAAAGAAGCCAAACAAATTTCTTTGTTTCCTTAATTTGTTCTTCCTTCCTTCCGTTACTAGGTTGGAGGCCATCGCTATTAGGTGGGAGGCCATCTCTATTAGGTTGGAGGCCATCGCTAGTTCCTTGTCTATTGTATTCTATTTTGTTCTTCCTTCGCGATGCCCTTGTTCCTAATAGCTTCTTGTTCCTAGTAGTAAGGCCAGGAGCCCCTAGTAGCGTCCTTGCTCCTAGTAGCGATGCCCTTTGCTCCTAATAGCTTCTTGTTCCTTGTGTGTATCTTCTGTGTTTCTTCAGCTCCAAGTAGCCAATGAGCTGCGTGACCACCCGGATAGTGGCCTCGGTGATTTTCGTTTACACGCGACGTGCACGCCGCTGGTGCATGTTTTTCACACCTGATCGTCTTGGGAGGGGACTGACTTGTTTGTGTCTGCCTTGGACTTGAGCTGGTGGAGCTCCTTGCAAATCACACGTTGGAGGCCATCGCTACTAGGTTGCAGACTATTGCTATCCACACATCGTGTGCGCGCCTTTTCCATTTTGCGCTGTTCTTCAGCCTGATACGCAACTGATGCACTTTGTGGTGCAATCCGACATAAATTCCAAAGCAGGGTGGAAATACATAAAACAAACGGTTCTGTAGTGGAAAAGGAAGCTACTAGGTTGGTGGCCATCACTACTAGGGTGGAGGCCATCGCTACTAGGGTGGAGGCCATTCCTATTAGG